GCTTAAATTAGTTTTCCAGGCAACAGGGGTAACTAGCTCCACAATAGGTAAAGTTTGAAAGCCCGTATGCTTGGAAGAAATGACTGCCTACTAATTCGACTAATGGTCTCAAAAATTACGGATGCTTTTTGGGGACTTTCTGTTACGGTATAAAATGCACCATTTTTCCATTAGGACCGTTAACACAAGAGTGTGTGCATGTGCTGCAGGAACTAGTGCGCATTGATGTGGTCAACTTTTTGAGGATAACGTGACTGCGGCAAACAAAACTGTGTAACGCGACCACTCACAAGACCGACGAAAGCAGGTCTCCTTGGACAGGTGGTTGCCAAGATTAAATTCATGCGGAGGGACATTCATCATCATCATTATACACGTTAACTGTAGGTGGAAAACACGTCAGCTCTTGTGCCTCATCAGAGGGACATTGCTAATAGGTGTAAACATTGGGACCTTTTTTAGTTGATCGTCATGGACAGGTGGTAGCCACATCAGCTTGGACGTTAGAAAACTAAGACCACATATATAAACTCGCAACCGTAATGGATGTTGAGACCGTGTTAAGGCAAAACTGTGGAAATGGATCGAACAGCAAAAGCCGAGAACAAGAACATTCGGCGCACGCCAGAACCTCGGATGAGTGCGTACATTTCAGTTGCACTGTGTAACATCCATAGACCAAATAAAGCAAGTTTTCATAGACTTTATGGGTTCCCAATATCCAGTAATCTAACGTCCCTATTCTTCTTACTTTGTCGATGGTCAACCCACGTTCTTATGCTGTTGCATGTGTGGATGAAACAATTATTGCTCCAGTGCTACAAAGATTACAAGTTACAGCATACTTGACAGCTCACAGATTCTCGAAAGCATCAATGACGCCAGGATAAAAGTGAAGTTGCTACTATTCTTTGATGCTTTCACCAACCTCCCGCTGATTTGAAAAATCGATTATAGTTGTTATGATATAATGAAGCCAGTGAAGCCAATGTGTATATTATTATGGGAGCTAAAACGGCTTCCTTCTTTTTGCACCTGGAAAGTGCAGATCCTATAATATATAGCACTTTCCATCGCAGAGGGACTGTGTCGTCATGGCGCCATTATATATGTTCCGTTATTCGTAGATAGCCTTATGAGAAAATGGAAAGAATTAAAACGCGTGCGGATTCAACTAGTTCTGACAACCATTGCCGCTCCATGGAGGATAGATTTGTTTTGCTTATTAAACACTTGAACCCAGACGAAGTACTTGAATGCCTGAAACGAGCCCACGCAGTAAGGCAGTTTATTTTGTTAAAGAACAATAAATCGGCTGCCCATCTTGAGGTTGTGGTAAACAGGAGAACAGAAGGACAAAAGCCGATTTAAAGGTTCCGACAGAATCTATCACATATGATGCGGCGGGACAACAATGGCTTCACTGATATCAGTTGCGGCATATAAAATTCACTTTTTCAACCACTGAGAGTCTGTGTTATGTGGCTCACAAGATTTAAGACAAGCCGCTCGGACGCATGATGAGCTTGAAGGTCATTTTGAAGAGCACGTTGTCTGGCTGGTTTACGACACGCAATCTCAATATTGACCGCGATTCACACTAACACCATAAATCCTGAATTAATTTACCAAAAACTTTTTCATAATTGTTTTATTTCTTAAGTTTTATTTTGGCTAATGCCAATCATAAAAAGAAAGCACTTAAATTTTTGTAATTATTTTCATGTCTATTTTTAAGGTGGTAGTTGTAAGCACCGAAAAGAACATAGGTCAGTATCATTGTGAAAAGGATACTGTTGAGGAACAAAATTCCTTGATCCGGAAGACGATAATCAAAATAACTTCTCTTCATCTCCTTTGCCCCTTGAAGATTGGAAAATGTTTCCTGCTGAGACGGAGAGTTCCACCGGCAAAAATGTTATTCAACTTCAGCTGTTCAAATAATCTCACAGATGTGAGACAATTATGCACTACCACAAAAGTATCGCTTCCTATCCGTTTACGTGACTCTATCTTCAAAACGTCCCCAATTCAAATCGGTCCTTAGTGTTAGGAGTGTCCTGTGATTTGATACCCTTAACCCCAGAAATAGAACCACTCATGTCGGCTCGGCACCATATTTTATAAACAAAGATTATTGCCTTTATATCACAATATATGTAGAAGCAATACGAAAAGTGATAATAAGAAATGTTTACTAAATTATTTTCTGTTGCGCAAATAAATGCTTCAAATCTCGAAATTTTGCGCCCCAAACCATCCTTACGGATAGTAATCCTTCTAACTGTTAATATTACACTTGTGTCCAGGCGGTGCATTCGGATAACAACATATATGCTGGATCAGCTTAATGCGGATTATGCTTAAATTGTAAAATAAATATTCCTAAATAGGGCATGTCCAATACGAAACGAACAAAAAAATAAGTGACTTGGTAAATTGCAACAAAACCAACTAAATTTTAATAAATAGAGCAAGCACTTACAGTTTTCTGGAACCAAATTTCAGCCACCCAAAACATGAAACACTAAATTTAACTCCACACACCAGACAGCGAAGTATCAGAGTTGTGGCCCTTACCGAACTGTTGTCAGAAGGATATTATATGTATCTTCGCAAGTAGTAGCAGGAATAACGCTTGCAGCTAAGCAACAGTACAATTTAAACAAAGTGGTACGTATAAGTATCGCCAGAACACAAAGGATTGCACTGAACGTCGTTCTTGCCCTCACAAAGACCGTTGCTTATGAAGCAGATGGAAACTGGGGGGTTGCCCACCCAAAAACACTGCACACTGTGACCTGTTTCGATGTTAGTTGCTCTCAACGGATATGTATAGCGGGCATCGAAGTGGGGACAATAGGTATGTCGTTTATGACCGCTACGCCTAGGCCACCGGTGGATTAAAGGTGGCCTAGACACCAACGGTTTCGATCGCTGATCCACAACTCCATTACGATAGTTACCTTGCCTGTCCTGGCTTAACTATAACTGGTCACTAACCGGATGTGCATTGTCAGTGGTTCAAAATGAGTAGTGCTAAGGAGGCATTTAATTTTAAGTGATCTCTGCGTATCCATTGAACAGACACTCGTTTAAGCTTAGGTAACCAAGGGGATCGCAGAAAAGCGTTTCTGTCAGTAGTTCTTGTCCAAAGTTTTCGTGCTTAACCAATTTATTAATCACGAGGCCTGAAGAGATAGAGACAATTGGCCAAGGTATTTTATGGACCCGATCTCAATCTATTTCAGCTCGTCAGCGCCGAACAGTAGGTCTTCTTTTACACGTTGAACTTGCGAGGATTTTATATCTCACTGATTCACGATGTTGACATTTTTCATTTTGCATGTTAATGAACGGGTCTGTTAGGCTGCATTCTAACTAACTGGCAGTCTACGATCATTGGTGTATCCCAGCGCACGGTGCTAGGGTCTACTATATGTTTCATACACATTTATGATTCACTTTAGCTTCAACGGTCGTATTGTGCTTTATTCGCCGAAGACCACAATATGTGCAAAATGACTGCCACTTCGATGCCAATAAGCTACTTCAGTAACACCTCACCCTACTTTTCAGATTGTCTTCAACAGTCCCCACCCCTGTCAACACAGTTGTGTCGGTATCTATGAGACAGTGGAAAGGTAATGACAACTGGCTTTATGCCTGCGATCATCAAGGGACACTACTAGCACTTTCGTAAATAAACGGGGTGTAAGCTCACCATGTGACTTAAAATGCTTGGATGACAAGAACAGGCTATATCAAGACGAGATGCTCATGTTTTAGGCACTAAAACGGAGCCTCTGTTTCCGATCTGACAAGTTTACTACTCACCTCTACTTTTCATCATAGAAAACAATTGATCGAATACAGTTAGCAAGCCTATCGTCCAGGAATATACTTCGAGGACCCAAGTGATGTCTACCACGCTTTTCCCCACTTTTCCGGCTTGCTGTACGATAATCTGTGTGAGGGAATAGGGCTGTCCTATCTTCGGGTGTAAGTACACTTTCCCCTTGCTGTGGTCGAGGTTTCAATAGCGGACATCCTGCAATAAATGCGAACACATGGAAAAGTTTGTGCTGTCGGAGATGCATCGAGTTTTCCTCGCCCTCTTAACTTGAAACGAACTGTGGTGAGTGTTTAAATCAGTCTATCATAGTACATGGGAGAGTCAAACTCCGCACATCAGGTCACGGCATTGCCTAAGTTGTATTTCGCAACTCTTCTGTCCAATAAGAAATTGTTGTCTAGAAATGACATATCATGTTCGCGAGACCAGAATTTCTGTCATACAATTTTGCACTACGATCTGAGATGGTTTGAGAAATGACATACAACAGACGTATTACGTTAGCTTATTTGTTTATTATTTCAACAAGTTTATAAAGGTCTAATATCTCGCTCCTTTGACAAAAGATAAGTTGTTTACTAAGTATTATAAAAAGCAACGCATACAGCAGACTCATAACAAGACATTTGAAAGTTAGTGGTAAAACGGCCGTCTAAATTAAGGATAAAAATAGTCTATATTTTATGCCTACAAATGTTGAGACGCTTTCAAACTCAGCTTTCTCCCCTATTTCTCTAGCTTCCTTTAAAAGCGCGTAGACTGCGTTGTTAGTCAACTGCACCTTGGAATTCTTGCTGGAACAAATGTATTACTGATACTTGAAAGTTAGTATAGGGGTCAGTATATTTGCCTCAAAGGAATGCAGCTGAAGACAACATGCACAATCTTTGGGTGCGCACATTTAATCGTTAGTTTCCTGCTCTCACTAATCATCGGTGCGAGTCAAATATTCGCATTTTGTGTATCATCGTTCGGCTCCATTACTGCTTCAGTTGAATATATGTGTAAATTTTGATTTTAACCTCTCACTTACAAAGTTTGTCAAACAAGGGAAAATGTGGAATCAAAACAGCTGGCAAGAATGCTCTTTTTGGTACATTGCTGCAAGGAACTACATGCACAAAACTACTATTAAGTTTAACAGCTTTGTGAAAGTTGCGGTTGGCTGATTGCCTTGTATTCGAATTAGATGCAACATTACCCACGTGTCAGGAAGTTCTGTTACAAATCTGATTATGAGCTTATTGAATGAACAGTAGAGGAAAGCTGCGGGCGTACCAGAATCAGTCATTTGGGTTAGCGTGCAGCTGCATCCAAACGAATCACTTCACCATTCAGCATGTGGTTTTGAATCACAACTTCAACCAGATGAGCAAACTCCTCCGGATTACCGCTGCGTCGGGGATTGCGTGCGACCGGGATCCAATCAGTCTCAGGAGGTACGGAGGCAAACATAGGGGTGTTGAACGCGCCTGTAGGTCCGAGAAAACATGTTTCAGAAGAGGTAACTACAACAACATCTTGTGTGCGAAAACCTACTTGTGAGTTTGAAAATTATCAATTATTGTAAAAGATTCCATCTTACGATGATGTCTAACGCGCGACTGCAGCCTAAAGGCTGAAATCTCCTACCATCAAAGAGGTGATTTTTAGTTACTCGTCGACTGTTTACGTTTACTTAATTAGGCAGCATGGTTAACGAGGTAGGCACAGTCATTCGGCTCGTTCAAACTCTAATTTGTAAAGACATAGATGTAGTTTAGCCGCAGGGAATTAACACGTGGTATTGAATTAGTTAAACCTAACGGAACAAACGTATTAAATATCGGACAATGGTGTTCCTTTACGTAATCTCGTTCATTTTGTACTCACTCGCAAATAGATAATATGCCAAGAAATTCATGAAACGATGTATACAATCAAACTATTGTCCTTTTCACTTGCGCTAAGAATGATAGTATTGGTGTACATGCCCTTCTAACATATCCTATGCGTAAGTATTCCGATTGGGAATAGTAAATTTGAACGGAACTGTGGCGGCGGGCTTCTAATTTGTCCTGTGAACTGTAAGCTCTACAAAGCAGGAATAATTAGCATACCATATTTATTGTGATGCCCTAAACTGGTTATGAATAATGTTATGGATGGCAAAGATCCAGTTTAACCATGGCTTGCGCTGAATTTGCCATCCGGATAAATTTGTTTGATTTCGTTGGCAATGCATCATATTTAGCGGCTAGCAATTTTCCCAGGATTATATCCGCCATGACAAAAGTTGCAGGGTATATGGCGAGCTGTAGACACAGTTCCAGGCAGCAATTATTCACGTGGAATTCGTCTAACTGATACCATTTGAACTGTTAAAATATACGCGGAATCGATCAAGAAGTAGTTATTGTATTGTGTAGATGAAAGGCAAAAGCGATCGCAATATCGACCACTATTCTTACTGTAATGAAGGGCGATCCGGTCACTAGGACCTTAGCCGAAGCGTATGTGCTATGGGTTTTGCCAACTCGAATATACTGAACTCCCCTCACTTTTCGATCTCGGTTGACCTCTTCAGGTAGGGATAGCAGGCTTTAAAGCAGGGCCACTACTCCTGTATGCACCGGGTCAAGAGAGGTAACGGCTAATGAATCGAGTTTTATTTTCATGTAATCGTCATATGCATAAATTGCATGGCACACTCTCAACGTGGACAGTGATCCCCATTATAATGTGCCTTGGATACTTCGAGCACTGGAACCGAAACTGAAGATGCAGATGGAAAGTGGGTCTTACTTGCTCGAATATAATGTACTCCAAAACCAGTGAAAACTTAATTGATCACAGCAGTTAAACAGGGAATCGAACCCGGAGCTTTTGGGGTGTTATCCGACAATTCGAATCCTAAACGAACGTGACACGGCAAACTATGCTTGCAATAACGGTTAGTGGCTGCTTGAAAAGAGCTTTTGAAAGTACTCGTTGTGTGAATGACTAGCACAGTTAATCAAAATTAGTTTTAGCTTTAACTTCTGTGACCTTGTGGCCTAGGGGTAGTACGTATGGCTGACAGTTAAGTGGACCCTCGTTCTAGAGTATGCTATCTAGCAGATTACTTCAAATTGTTTCGAAATCGGTGATGATTAGCAGGCAATTTTGACCAACAATCATAAATGCTAATCGGCTCAGCTATTGATTTGGCAGTACAGCATTTGTGACCCAAAATCTTTGTCAGTCAAGCTGAATTGTCGATTGCTGGCGTAGGAGTAAATAGGGAGCGATCGATTGAATAGGGATAGCGGACACTACTACATGAGCCAATGAACCTTTTTGACTTAGGTGTAGGACTCATCGTAAGTGGTTCAAAGAGCTTAGGATGGGTTTGTGATTTTACCATCTGGCACATCAACAATAAGTTTTGTTAACCATGATGATTTGGTCTTTGCCATAGAAGCTGACGGTCTATCAACACCCAGCAAACTGGCCGGATGTCGATGATTCACCATGTAGTCGTGGGACCCCCTACCCGATGTTTTCACACAAATATCGTTCTTGGCGATTTCCATCCTTACGACAATCGTCCTCTGGTGCGTCACACAGAAACCTTCACTAATAAGCGCCAGTTTTAGCTTCTAAACCGAAGGTCCATTTTCTATACGGAGCACACGTGCAGCAACGCAGCTTCCGCCGTCAATTCTAGTGGTGCTTTCTAAACAAACCTAATTGCCGACGAAAACTATAAAACTGACAATCGCTATACAAACTACTTGCGTTAACTTTCCTGTGTACCAATGTTCCTGACTCCAAATCTGACACAGCAACAAGCAAGTTGAAAGACGATGGCAAGCAGTGGAGTTCCATCTGCGATGCGATTTGTATTCGGGTTAAGCCTACTATGCTGCAACGCTCAGCGCGTCACCCGACCTCAGTACACTCTGGTGAACCTCGAGTTATTTGCATAACGCTAGAATCACCAGATGCGACAGAGGTTGTGCTGATCTCAGCAATTCGTCTTAGTTACTCACCGAGCGGAATGTGCATTTTAACCGATCTACCTTGTAAAGCTCGTCCAAAAGAAGCAGGTGACCAACGCTGCATTTCTAACAGCGATAACAAGAAAACAATTTTTGTTCATAGTGTTCCCGAGCTCCTGCATTCTTCTGATCATGATGCGCAAACACATGACCGAGAGCAGTGGTGTTACATCTTTGAAGCACTCACTGTTGACAATGTTATTGTCAACTCCCTGACAAGATTTCCGTCACCACCTAATTACAAGGGCTGCGGTCCAAGCCTATTGAAAGTGAGATTACACTCCGAAGGATTGACGCAAGTTCTGTTGGATAGATGGTTAAAGTTTCAAGCCTGGTTGCCAACAGTGATCCGGTTAAAGGCAGCAGGCTAACGGCCAAGAGTCCTAAGCATTTCGATGAAACTTGCAAAAGCTGCTAATTAATTATCTGCATAGTCGTGCGGAGGATCCTACCCAAGGACACCCACGGCAAGAGTGAAACTTCTGTGCAGGAACGCTCAATAAGGCCATGCAACTTGACTGAAATACATAAACCAAAAACGATTTATGCCCGGCCACTTAACGGCCGGCTTAAAAATAACACAAAGCTGATATCCATCAACGCACTCCTGACAACAAAAGCCCTATATTGCATGTACACAGACGTCCAATGCCTTCTAAGTAAGTTTTCCGAACATAAAGTACTCCATGCCTCACAACCGCGGGACCTGGTAATGATCACAGTGACCTGGTTACACCTTGGTCTAACAGAGTCTGAGATCAATTTAACCGGTGTGTCGCTGCTTCAGACCGAGAGAAACGGAAAGGCTAGTGGTGTGCTTCTTTATTATATTACAAAACTCAAATGTGAATTTATCGAGCATTCCCTGGAAGTCCGCGCTCCTGATTCGCTTTGGTGTCGCCTATGGTTAAGGAACTAGGACACAAGCCTTCTAGCCGTGATTTACCGCCCAACTAACTCTACATCAGAAATGAACACCAAACTGAATCATGTCTTTCAATTTGCTTTGAACATGTCCCACACCCACATTCTTATCGCCGGAGACTTTAACCTGCACGACATTGAAACGTCAGCAACTGACGGTACGCAGTTTAAAGCCTGATTGCAATAGCTAATGGCTAGCCGTCCTCTGTACAACCACGTAGCTACCCACCAGATTTCGAACTGCTAACAAGCCATTGATACTGAATCTTGTGCTCACAAACGAAGAACTCATGGTTAACGGGATAGTTACAAGTACACCACTGGGTTGTAGTGACCATTTCACTCTACTAGTTGACTGTAGTCAAATATTCTAATAAGGAGGATGATAAAGTGCATACTGTCACGCAAAATAAGGGAAAATCTACGCTTGTTAGGGATACATCTTAGTCATCCTTAACCGAAATGCCCCCAGATGTTGCCTGGGAAACATTTACAAGGAGGTTTAGCACACTGGTTGCGCACGCATCGGAACAGACTTCCTTCCAACGCACAAATATGCGTCATTTCTGAGAAGGATAACTGCTCAATGTATGTCCTTGAGGATTTGGTATGGTGAGGTCACCAGGACTGCTCGAATGCCAAAACCTGGACTGCATACGTGACACACGGTAACTTCTGTGTGAAACTGATTCACGAAGACAAGGTCACGCATCACCAAGCTTTAATGAAGTTATTCTGCACGAACCGTAAACTTCTGCACTGGAACGTTAACGGCCTTCGAATGGTAAAGCGAGTGATTACAGCACTATTCACGGCTGAAGGATGCATGCGAACAGCAATGGAAGCAGCCAATCCCCTACAGCTTCATTTCTCTCAAAGTTTACAGCAGATAACCAGCCAAAATATTCTCCTGGTTTCTATTACTGCTCCGTCAGGTTTGGACAATATCACCTTCACTGCGGAAGCTGTGCTGAAGAAGTTGTTGTCCTTGCGTATCCACAGTTATCCTGGAGTCGACATCATTCGATCAAAGGCTCTGCAGGCGGTGGTTAGTGATCTAGCAGAACCACTGGCTGTTTGCTGTTAGTGATGTCTAGAATGGAACCACAGTCCACCAGTATGGAAACGGTGTGTCATCACGCCGATACATAAACTAGGCAGGCGCATTGACCCCACAAACTACCGTCCAATAACACCACTTCCTGTCCTATTCAAAGTGATGAAATCAACCATCGCACAAGCGGTGATGCAGTATCTGGAAAGTCACAAGTTAATAGCCCCTGAGCAACATGGCTTTCGACAATAGCGTTCACGTAATACTAACCTATTACTTGCACTTAATAGCTGGACTGAAGCTGTTGATGTTGGAGTAAGAGTCGATGTCATCTACCTGGACTTCTCAAAAGCTTTTGATGGCTCAGACCATGTAATTCTGCTTTAGAAGCCTCGGAACTAGGTTATTGGCGACCCAATCCTGAGTTGGATTAGTAATTTTTACAATAACGAGGCCTAGTGGTGAGAGTCCGAGAATCATTGTCCGATGCAATCGATCTGGTGCGTGGTGTGACACAAGGCTCGCTGCTTTTACCTCGTCTATTCTTGGTGTTCATTAACGATTTGGCAAGATCAATTGCTGCTGATTTCCTATTTTTCACTGCTGATATCACCATTTGGCAATGGATCAGAGGATCAGAAGACCAGATAACCACGAACGGCTCCAGCGCGACTATAACACGGTATTGAACTGGTCATTACAATCGCCCAACCATTCAACGTAGACAAATGTCGCTTTGTACAATTACGCCATAGATATAACTACGCCTAGTTGCTTGGGACAAACGGATTGCAGATCAGCTCCAGGAAGGTGACATTGGTGTGCTCGTACAGAGCGACCTCAACTGTTCAATACAAGCTGAGGTAGCCGCGAAAAGATGAAACCCGCATCTCGGCATGCTGTGTAGGGCATTCGGGCGATTTGACCCATCAATCATCCCAAGGATGCACAATTCCTACATGCGCCCGAATGTTGGCAAACTTGGTTAATGTTCGAGCTATAGACGTTAGAGGCACCTCAAGGAAGAGCAAAAAAGAACGTAAATGGTCTGTGTTGTCACACTTACCACCGAAGGCTGAGGTTGTTGGGAATTTGCAGCGGACGATATCGAAGGCTGCGCGGTGATCGCATATTAAGGTATCAGATATGAGTGGCCCCAAACACATATGCCACAACTTGCTGAAACTTAGCCACAACACGCGACTCAGAGTTAACTGCCTAACATTGAAGGGATAATATAGCCGTATAGGTTGTCCATATAATTACTTTTCCGTTCGGGTTTGCCGACCCTGGAACGCACTCTCAGACCCAGTGGTATCTGGCTTTACCTTGGACGTTTTCAAGAAATGGATTAGATGTTGCTCTTAGCACGCAGCATTTCGTTACCTAAACTTCTCCATTGTGGTTGACACCAGGCATGTTTTTCTACAGGATGTATGCAGCAAATGGAATCAACTGAACGACCATATTTTACCTTTCTCACGCCTTATATCAACGACAACTGCACCCCAGTGTTTTTCTAAAACCTTACGCCCGAGTATGTTTAATTTTGCGCTGATGTTATTTATTAAAGTATTCATATTCGCAGACGTTTGATAGATGATCCATATAGATTTTGATTTCATCACATCCACCCCAGCCATCCTAAGAGACGTGCAAAACAATTGCTTTTCTCTCGTTATCAATCATTGTTCATTGATTGCTGATGCGTAGCACATGCATCGCTACGATAGGATTTATTAGCGGTGTTCTGTACTCAAACTCATTTTTCCTGGCTCACAAATTACACATTTTTTCTGCAATTTTATGTTCTGGACTCTTTAGGTTTTTGCTTGATATAATTGTGTGTCCAGTATTTGCAGTTGATGTAAGTATACTTACTCGTCCTATCTGTGGTATTGCAGCCCATCAAACGCGACGGGGTTAAACACAAATTTCGGTTACGCTGGAACATTATCCCTAAACCCTACTTCTTCAGTAACCTCAAATTTGTTTCCTTTGGTGCCTTGTTGTAGGAAGTTCTCACATCCTTTGTTCAATGTGTTGCTGGCCTTCCTTGTGAATTTAATAGTTTTTGCAACTAACGCTTCAATAAACGCCACTGATAACCAACGCACAGTAGTTCATTCGCCGCCCCCTTTCCTTGCCACCGTTCTGCCCACTTCCATTGTGCACATTGTTATTGCTCTGATGAACAACACTTGCTAACCCCGGTTCTTGCTTGTTAGATATTTTAGTAAAAGCGAGGTTATACCGAAACGCACCCTTAGTTATTCCGGCGCAATGGTGGACTGTGCTATCGTTTGGAGAAACAGTAAAGCACGCATTTACTGTCAGGGCCTGCAACATTCATAAATACTAACCTGCAACTTCGTCTATTGGGTTGTCTATGCCTTTGAAGTTACGCTGCATGTTGACAGTAGGCCTGCGTATTTTCAGAGCACATAAAACTTCGGGGGTACAGTCGCTTTAGGGACGAGGTCAAAACATTCCTCTTCCCTGGAATCGCCTATCACTGCTCTCAAATATGTATCCCTTTTCTTGTTATTCATAATCACCTTCACGGTTTCATTCGAATTTAATCTACATACACCTGTCTCTGCAACTGCATCGGGTTTCTTAATAATCCAACTTGGTCACTATAAATATTGTTTGCTCTATTAGCCACTGTGATTGTAATACTACTTTCTCCCTTCAAGACCTGAAAATTCATCTGTTCATCCGATGGAAAATTAAATCTCTCTGATTGCAGAAACATTAAGCTACTTACTGGCTGTGCACGGAAAGTCTCCGCCATTACCGTGGACCAAATGGTTACTACGAATATTGAGTTAGCGTTTACTTACTTTACCTATAACTTAGACGTGTTGCTAATAAACTTCAATGTACTCCTTGTGTCCTTCAATACTACTGCTGACTAATTTATTACAGTTCTTAACCACTATTTTAATACTGACACTGAGGCTGGGTAGCATTGTGATACTTGAAAATAAGTGGTGAAACTTAGGAAACGGACTTTCTTAAAAGCTTTCTCCTCATTTTAAAATGACTTACCAACCACTGTCAGAAAGTCCATCAGAATGCGTTTGCATAATGGTGGCGGTCAAATCCACTCTGGATCGATGCGAATCTCAATCAAACTTCCTGCTGTTAAATGTATTTGCCGTTTCAAAAACGTTTGTATATATTGAGCAATACCCCTGCGAATTTCAAATTAGTACCTGGTTTACGTATGAGGGATTAAGTCATTATCTCATTCTTTAGGCTTTCCAGGATATAACTGCAAAGCTTTTCTCTGTTACTCTTATGCATGACCAACCACACGGATTCTCTGGCCACTTTCCGAATGCGAGGTCCGTATTGGAAATAAAACTAAGTGCCATTTCATCTTGTGTGAAAGAGTTTGGCATTTACAAAGAAATCTTGATACATAACTGCGTCAACAAAGTTTACAAGATGCCCGTAACCACGCTATTAATCGCTTTACATCTCAGGGATCATTTCATAACCTTTTCAGTTGTTTTAGGGTGGACACTGGGAAAATTGAAAAAATTAAGGTGTCTTGCCAGATATAATGTAATACCGAATTTTACGACAATTATTATATAGTTCAGTTAGAAAGTTCTCTGAAATAATTCCTTAGATAAAATCTCGCTTGCATTTGACCCCTGCACGACTCAGTGGCCTATGTATAATAACCTTTTACCGCATTTTAACGTGATCCGCATATGCTTGATGCAGTAAAAACAGCAAATACAAATTTACTAAAAATGCCGCCGACTTGATGTTTCAGACTTTAGGAGATAGAGGTAAAACCATGTAAAAATCATTATAATGATTCAGGCTATAATGTACTGCTAAATATAGACGAATCAATATGGTTTAATGACCACTCGCGTATAAACGTAGTGTGGAACATTCAAACTGCTCTAATGGTAATAGGTCTTACTTGCTTCAGCTACGATTTGTGTTTGTTTAATTCGTTCGATTGCGCTTGGAATACCTTATTAAATAAGCTGACGTATTTCTATCTTTTAGGAGACCTTGAGTAATGTAGTTAACTACATAACTCCTCGGGACTGCCACTCAGATAGTTTCGATTGGCAGGTTCTGGGCTACTACTAGCGCATTAAGAATTCATACATAAGTATTTGACATTTGTTGCTAGAGGAATGCTGTCAGCCACCTGCTGCAGCCTGTGTGTAACAAGAAAGAATGTGCTTCCACTAAACACAACTCAAAGGAACCGGTTGTTGCTTAAGCTGTCGCAAATATGATAGTGCTGCAGATGCGTAAGCAATCTAACTGCTGTATTTTCTCTTACTGTTATCATCCACTTAACTTCTGGTCCTCAACGACATTTGAGCTGTGAGTACCGGGTGGTTAGCCTATGCGATTAACCCGCATCTGATTCCAGTGATCTTTAGCTAGTATTAGATCGCTGTGACATGAATACATATGGTAGGATTCTACTCATGGACATGAGTTACGCGGTCACTACTGGTGTGCGAGTCCAACTCTCTCCTTCTGTCCTCGTGGATCTCGGGTTTTACCCCAAACACGCAAGGTATATTTCCTTTAATCGCGTAGCAATTAAGGCTATAGAAACATATCATACACACATGAACTAAGCCCAATACTGTCTCGGTTGGGAGGCGCATTACGAATGCATGTTGCACCAACTGCTAACTGCAATTCTGAGTGAGTCTCCTTCTACAGACTATAGGTGGATAGAGAAACGGAAGACATGTGTACATTCAACTTCGTCGAGATAAAAATTTTAAGATTTCGGCATCTACTGGTTATTTATTGATAAGATAGTTAACGTAGCGAGGTTTCGCTAATCCAAGAAATCGACTACCAAAACAACCTCGAGTTACAATGGGGTAAAACAATGCTCAAACTCAGTGGGGGATGAAACATACCTGGTGCTATAGTTACCACGCGGATGCCCAGATCCGCCAAATCGCGTGCGATTGGAAGTGTCATGCCTACTACAGCAGCTTTGCTAGCCGCATACGCCGCAGTTTTCTCCATTCCGTCAGTAGCCAACATGCTACCTGTGTTTACAATGACACCACGTTGGTTGTCTTCATCCGGTTGGTTCTCTGCCATTGCTGCGGCAGCCAGTCGAATCATGTTGAACGTCCCGGTGGCATTGACCTGAAATGAGAATGTCAAGCTCAATCGACACTGGTTTAAACGAAGGCGGGCGAAAGACAATGAATAATAATAGTACTAATAATTATACTAATATGTACATTTCTATTGATGCTAGAAACTACGTCTGTAGTGGCATAGGTCAATTAATTTGTACAGAACCATCCATCCTCTTGCATGGGTAACGTGCACAGGTGTATTAACGTTCTAGCGGATGGTTGTGGCCAAAGCCTACTTTTGAAAACATTGATGTTTAGAGGTTTTTGAACCACAATTGGAATAGCTAATCGTGGGATTTTTCCCATGTTAATGTAGAGATTATGGTGATTAGATCAAGGTAATTGGCGAGTCTGCTTTTAAATATGGCCACATTATCACTTGACATGCGTGTTATTGGTACATTATTCCACAGATACCTATATCTGACCAGGAAGCAATTGGAGCTAACGTTCGTTCTAGCCTTGGGTATATTCACCGTAAAACATTTGTTGCGAAGCGTTCGTTTTGATAATGTTGTAATTCAAGTGCAGGCAGTTATTAATAGGTAGTTTGTGTAGCACCTTGACAAGCAACAACAAGTTCTGCTGCAATCGTCTAATCCAAAGTTGTTCGAGTTGAAGTTCATTGCAGCCTTCTCGCTAACTCACAGCAGAATGCTTACTAAACAGATGTTTTTTAAATGACCTCTGCAGGTGCTCCACAGCAATTATGTCATTCTTTCCCATATTTCTACTTGCAATGTTGTAGTGTTCGTGGATGGGGTTGGTGAGTAGTTTGTAAAGCTCAACCCTAGCAAGAGTAGTGTGGAGAGTTTGCTGGATATATTGAACACAGATAGTCTAAAATGTGCTAATTGGTATTGGGTCTGATCGGAGATTGCCCCTTTTTTAGTATTTCAGGCAGTACGCAGCTTTTGGTAAAACCAATGCACCAGACTTTTATAAAAACCCACTACATATTACACACCAAGTATAAGTTGCTGAAATATTGCGTTGACTGCGCTGTTTCTCTGTGCATGCAAACAGTGCGATTTGCCTACCTATAGAGTTACCAGCACGATTAGTGATGTCAGCTGTAAAACGTGACTAATTTGCTAAGTTTTAGATAATTATTGTTATTTATCGGGTGTTAAACAATATTACCACACTTATATTGACTAAATATCAAATGAACCATGTCTCCATACTCAGGTTCCTAGTGATTATTATGTGCGTTCTTCACGTGATGGCAGGGGGGCTTACGGAACACATTGATGTATATTTTGGTTGTTGACACAAAATGTGTTTTTATTTGCTGCTGTATGTGTTTAACCAGGAAAGGGAATCTATTCAGTACTGTCCAACACGAAGTAGCGATTTTGTCATTCCATCAAGTTTGTAAAGGCATTCACCATGGCCATGAATTACAATGACTCTGCGCTCTTCATTGCAAATAATGGCAATTGAGTGGGCAGGCACGCATAACTGAGGCTTGCCAATCCTAGTTTCATGTGCCTGGTTTCCACAGTGCTGAAACCAGAAAACAGCTGAGTACTTACAGGAAGCGTCTAATATTTCAAATAGTACGTCACAGATAAACGTAAAAAAACCTAGTTGCAAAATTATGGACAACTCTCATGATATTGCATGCACACAAGATCATTCTGAGGAATCCAAACTTTCAAGCTTCGTTTGATGGATGCAGTTCTTCAAAAGTTAAGCAATTGCGACTGCATATGGCAGTAGTCATGATGTTTGGCCAATAGCCGTTTATCGTACTCATTCAGGGAATCCTTACTCCAAAAGTCTTACTGGATATCATCAAACGCTCAAGTGGATTTGTTGAATGGTAGTATTTTTGACTGCATGAAAAGCAAGGAACCGTGTAAATTTGACTTCTTCACACTAAGTCTAGAATTTTGGGGGTGTTTTGTAAGTCGACATGTTCCTTGTATTCCGGGTGCACTAGACTAGAATAACCTTCAATCGATCTGGAGTTTTCAGTCCTGTCTGGTTTGTGTTTCTGACAAGATGCTCATCAATTCAATCAACCCCATGACTTGGCATATTATCCAGTGCTATCAAAACTAGTATTAACTTGAATTTTCTGGTACATGCGGGTTCCACTATCACCTACTAAGCAGGGAAATTTAGTGCGGTCTCTCTTGATGGCTACCGGTATTTATTCATGAAACACTCAACATCAAAGGCGCACTATGACGTCTCGGTAATAGTGCATACTGGAAACGGAACCAATGAATACTCTGGTCGTCTAAGCTCCGCAAATGCTTAAGTGTATTGTGACCACGGTTGCGCTTTCTCGTCCCATTAAGCAGGATATTGGATACTTGTAAAATTCGCCAAATCAAGATTATTCTTCGGTGCAATTGACGCACTTTTGTTGGTTTGCCCACTCGGAAATTGGTACGGAGTGCAAAATCAAAAATACACTTTAAACCTTGGTGTCAGAGTATTGCCAATCATTGTCTATGGACAGCTCGGATAATACAGTCACAGTTGGAACTGATTTGCGCTAATATTCTAATAAGACCGGTTGCGTTTACTTAAGGCCAGATTAAGTGATGAGCACAACGATCACAGTTAGTATGTATTGGTTCTATACAACGTGAGAGTTATGCAGTTCAATGTGTGCACAGATGTACAGACGCGGGAATGTAATAAAGTAAGAATGCTGGTAAAGTAAATAGCAATGAATACAATTACGGAAGGACAAAAAATAGCTACATAGCGTGGGTCCAAATATCAACTTCAGACCCTCGATTAGCAAACAAGTAGAAAGACTGAAAGCAAAAATAGCGATGCTGATCTATGCACAATTGCAACACGAGATCGTGATCGGACATAGGGTTTCACGGACTCGGTCGATTCCAATCTTGGTTCAGTGTGGTTGTTCCATTGGATGCATCTGTTTCGCATGCCTAATCAACACGCGTGGTATACTAATACATTGTTCCACCGGAAACGTGTGACTGCACATAAGCAGCGACATCAACGGCCTCATTCGCCAACGCGATGAAGGTTGAGATAAGGGGCAAATATGCATCAACAACGAGAGACTCCATCCAGTATTTCCCGGAGGCAGGACGAACACTACTTTCACGAGTGCTGCGAACCATGCTTCTACATTTTACTATAACTGAAGGTAATGAAAACATAATGGAAGTAAAATTTATCGGGAGTTCGATTCATTTTGATTCTAGTTGCTCAACTGTTCACCGAGCTTGGCAATTTGGCTGTAAACATTTCGTCACCAATCAAGGGGACATCATAATCCAGATTTAGATGTATCTTGGTCTTCGAAGCTCCTAACAGGCAAATCCAGTTATGGATTTGCTGAAGCGACCTGGATTGGTGACGAAACGTTTGCAACCAAATTGTCAAGCTCCTCGATGAACTACGAAGCTAAAGCGTTAATCCGAGCCACCGGTATTCTAAACCACTAGGGTTTTGGGTTAAGATTAATTTGATTCCCGGCTAAACATGTTATTATACTGCGCATATTGCGTTTCTGAAATCGGGTCAAGTACTGCGAACTGCTGCTTTCTTGGGTGGTGATATGACCAGGAAAGTAAAAAGAGATGGGTTTGTCTATGAATTGCATCCAAATGGTTTCTCGTCTTCCCGGATTTACTCCTGCGCCCATATAACTAGTAGCACGGAGCAAAGTGCGGTTTCGCTATACTTGCCAATAGTTGCAACAGCAACAACATTGGGAAAGCCCCACCATATATCTGTGGAGTGAAACGCGTTTGGAACATGTGGCAAGTGTTGCGCAACAATATGCCATTCGATCACTGCCTATGACGGGAAACGAATGGTCTCAGCTGACAAATACGAAAGCAAACCGTGATAGATAAAAGTATATGCATCAGAATATATTTCCTGATCGCTATTGATTAAGGTCGAGCCAAAAAGGAAAAGTTGTCAATGAATTAGACGAAATGAGATAGTGAGTTTGTGTAAACACCCAGGAGTTTCACCAATATACTATTGTCCTACGACCTCACATGAGTTGGCATAACATCGCAGTCGAAGCCCATATCTTCGAGAGAAAGCTTAGCATTCGAGGCTAGCAGTAGTTTTTAAACCAAAGCGCCAGATCATCTCACATACTAACGACGATTTTAATTACTTATTGCCAGATTAAAATGACCGAATGCGGTGGCCACAAGCGTCATGACTACTGTACCTGTCGTGCATTATCTGCCTAAACATTTTCATAGTAGACAAGAAAATGCGATTTCATTACTGTGACTCAAGCTTCACTCAGAGTAATAAAGCAAAATCAAGGTCTGCGATACATTTTGGATTCACTTTCACCAAAACTGTTGAGCTGTGTCTAACAACATCATACATCAAATAGTGGATGACTAATCTGGCATACAGCGCTACAAGTATGCCGCTTCCCATGTCAAATCTGAAAAGAAAGTAACTCGACTGTCCTACATCTCGTTCTCCCATGCCAAAACTTTCGGTCAGTGTAGTGGTGGGAGTGAGAATTTGCGTTTGCAATGAGCAAGAGGCATTATGCTTTGGTACGTTTGTTGTGCATAAAAATCCAAGAGAGGAACCGAATTAGTCTGCAACGTCCCACATTACGACATCACTTCTACCAGTATATTGGAGAATTAAAATGGTTTAACTTACTTATACCTTCTTTCACTATCACCTGCTGCAATTTTTTTCGTTAGGCACCCATTAAAATACCAACCTACCAGAAGTCAAGATTCAGCACGTAAACAAGACTATCTATGCGGCGTAAGATATGCGACGACAGGCAATAGACTGCGATAAGCTTAGGATAACTTTCTAAGCGTCTATACTTTGGGTACTGAGTGCATTCGACTATAGCAGTGCACTGAGCAGATGCGCAATAAGAAATAACGGTGGACGTCAGCAACAACAACTTAAATATACCATAACCCCAAACACCTTTTTGCATACTGATTATCTGGGCTTGGACAGCCAGCCAACAATGACTGCCACCACTTCCATCCTGTTTTTCG